AAGAAGAAATAATATCATAGTCGTTATAAAGGTGAGTTAATAAGCAACACTCGTCTTATTTGTATCTTAGGCTGTATTCCAGAGTTGTTTTTACAAACTGTTTGGCCAAAGCTTTGAACACGTTCCTTTGCGCTACAGTTTTTGCAAACTACGCATTGAACTCTCATTTTTTTCATATATCTTTAGTGGGCAGAGGATAATCCAAGCCTGTACACGTCTTAATAAGATTTTGAATAATTCATCTTTAATTCCTTTGTTTTAATAATTATTATGGCGAATAGACGAGCATAAGCCACGATAAATCGACACAGAGATCAAATTGACTGTAACATTTCCGGATGTTATTAGATGGATTCGTTAATGATCGTTTCGTTTTATCATCGAAATCCCAAATTTATTCAGTGGATGAAAGCTACCCTTGTGGGGCCGAGGGATTTTGTGAAGACGATGGAGATTGAGGTCGTGGTGGTTGACATATCTGATGATTTTGTTGTTGCAGCATATAATTGTTTTTGAACCTGTATTATGTATATTGGGGATCCTCGTGGGTGGCATCCCCAACATATATAATAAAACAACAGGGCAGAACAATTGTATGCTGCAACAACAACAAAAACATCAAGAAGAACGAATTGCTCAAATTGAGCAAGAACAACATAACACTCGACGACGGCAGCGGCGACAACGCCACCAGTGACAATACCAGCACCAGCAACAACAGCATTGTTTATTTTTTGTTGTTTTCTCTGCTCTAAATACGTTAATCGAGCTTCAACGCTATTTATTTGTTGTTAAATCATAATTAGGAAAACTTTCATGCTACAGATAATATTAAACAAACTATAATATTTGTGAGATATTATTATCTTGTATAACATAACATTACTTCAAAAATTATATATGCTATAAATATGATTAGATTTTGCAAAGCTATTACATTCTTATAAATAAAAATATTATGAATCAATAAATATATACTGTTTTATAATAAGTTATTCTATTATTAGCAAATAAAAAATAATAAAAACTTTAATATAAAAACTTTAATATAATTACTATACATATTATACATGTATAAATAAAAGATTAATATTAATTTGTGCTCTTAATAAAATGATAATATTAATATTATAACTTTAAAGATCAATAGCTTAACTAAAAAATTTTTATAAAACTTGATTAATAATTTTGGAAGAGATTATTAATATTTATCAGAATTATTAGTTTAATTTTTATTAAATATTTATAATATATAATATAATTGCTTGATTTTGATTTCATTTTGATACTAAAATTTTAGCTTATAGACTAAATATATTATATCACATAATTATAATTCTTTTAATTAAATTAATTTATTTATCAAATAGCTTATTTAATAATAAAAAATATATTTTATATTAATTTTTATTATCTAATTTAAATTATATAGTAAAATATAAAATATAAAAAAATAATTAATAATACTTTTTTATTAAAATTATTTAAAATTATTAATTTTAATTTCAATTATTAATAATATTTAATATGATTAATTATTATTATTATAATTATTATTTTTTATAATAAGTATATATATATATATATATATAAATATATATATATATAATAATATTATTAATTATTTATAATATATAGTGACAACCAAAAGTAATAACTCAGGAGCTAATTATAATTTATAATTCTTTATTAAAATATTATTTAATTATTTTTATAATAATTTTCTAAATAATTATTAATATAAATATTATTTTTTATAAATAAAAATTATAAATTCTAGTTATTAATATATTAAATTTTATTACTATATTTATATATTTTTTCTAATATAAAAGATCTTATTATTAATTAAATTAATTAAAATTTTATGAATTTTAGTAAATTAAAGATAAATTATATAAAGATATTATATAAATAATTAATTATATATTTTATTTAATCTTATATAATTATTTTTTTTATATATTTATTATTATATTTTTATATTAAAAATAAAAATTATAGAAAAAATTATATAATAAATTATAAGAAAAATTATTTAAAAATAAAATAAAATATTATTATTATAATTCAAATATATTAATAATATTATATAATTAATACTTATATTATTAAAAAATTGAATTTTATGAAATTAAATATATATAATAATTTTTATTAATTTTATTAATTTAAAAAGCTAAAATTATAATTTTATTAATAATACTAAAAAAGTTATTAATAAGTTTAGAAGATTATTTAGAATATCTATTAATATTATCATATAGCACTAACTATAGTATCTCTTTCAAGTATAATATTCACTATAAATAAGATTTAAATATAATATATAGGTTTAACTTTTGAAAAATTGAAAAATACTTGAATATTATATAAATATTTATTATATATAGTATTTAGTATTATTATTATAGATATTATATATAAAAAATTATAATTTATTAAAAAAAATTAATTCTATTTATTAATATAATTAATTTCTTCTATATTATAATAATTATTTTTACTAATAACTTCTTGTTTATTAATCTTATTATTTTCTATTAATATTAAATTAACTAATTTACTAATATCTTTACTTTTAATATTAGAATTAAACTTTGAATTTTCATCAATATTATTAATAAATTTATTATTTTCATATATATAATTATATGAATTTGTTTGTTAATTAAGTTAAAAATTATATAATCTTCTTTATTATTATAACTATTAAAAATATTATAATACTTAAAAGATTTGTGAATCAGAATTAGATTAATTTTATTTTATGTATTAGGTATCTATTGAATAATAAAATTATATATAAAATACTAAATATAATTAAATTTGATATAAATCTGAATATTATTAGTTATCTATTTATTATAAAAATATTATATCTATTAATAAATAATATTTAGTTATATATAATAAAATATATATAATTAAACTAAATTAAATATTTTAGATTTAAAAAACTTATTAATTATAACATTTAATAATTATAATTTAGAAATTAATTCTTCAGAAATTATAGTTAAATTTATATTTTTTATGAATTAGTATTTTACAAAATCTATAATATATTCTTGAAATAAATTCAAAATTAAAAGTAAATATAAATTTATTGATATATATAATTATTAGTTTTATATATTTTTATCTATTATAATATTTCATTTTTATTTATCTATTTAATTAGATTTGCATAAATTATTATTTTTGAGAGAAGATTTATTATAAAATATTAATTAACTTGAAGATAATAATATTATTATGATGAATTGATAAGTAAATTTTCACTTAAATTCATCTTAATAATATAAAGTTGGAAGAAACTGAAATAATTAAAGATAAAAAAAGAGGAATTAGACTATACTTTTAATAATGACAAAGATTTCTAAGATTTATACTAATATCTATGGATATTATCTTAACAAAGAAGAAAATAAATAAATAAATCAAGAAAATCATAAAGATTGACTAAGTAAAGCTATCAGTAATTAATATAATTCAAAATTGAGGTAATTGAATAGTAAAATTACTATTAATCAAAGAAGACTATTACTAAAGAAAGATAAAATTAAAAAGAATATCAAAAATCAAAAATTAATATAATGTTATAATTCAAAATCAAAATTAACTTTGTATAGTTAAAGAAATAAAACCAAGTGAAAAAAAGAATTTTAATATAATTAAAAAAGAAATCTTATAAAAAGATTACTATTATTATAATAATAAGCTTTTTAATTATATTTTTCAAATAATTCAATCTAAAACTATTTATTTCAAGTTGAGATAATAGATTCATTTATATATTTTTTCAAATATAAAAATTATTATAATATTACTAGTTAATACTATCTAAATATATAATATAATTTAAAGTATTATAGTATAAATAATTTAAAATATATTATATTAAAGTATATTGAAAGATATTAAAAAATATTAAAGAATATCAGAATATATGAAGGGATATTGAAAGATATAAAAAGATATTGAAAAATATAGAAAGATATAGAAAGATATTGAAAGATATAAAAGGATGTGAGAGAATATCAAAGAATATTAAAGAAGATAAAAAGATATTTATGATTAATATTCTAAGTGTAACTATTTTATCAAAATTAAAAATGATTTTTCACTATATTATTTTACTATATACATAAATATTATATTATAAAAATATAAATCTTGAATATAAATAAAATATAGTATTTAAAAATAGAAATGTAATAATAAATATGGTAATATATAATATAAAAATAGGAATATTTATAAAATAAGTAAAAATTATAAGAAAATATAATTTTATATAATCAAGAAAAGATTAAGAAATTAGAGAATTTTATATTATTATAATAATAATATATAATAGTTTTATTCTATCTATTATATAGCTAAGTATAATTATAAAATTAGATATTTTATAACTATAAGTTCAGATTAAATTATATTAATATCTTGATTATTAATTAATAGAAAGATTAAATAATAAAAAAATTTTATTTATATTATTAATTAAGTTAAAAGAATAATTATATTGAATTTATTAATATAAAATAAAACTTAAAAATTTATATTATAATAGTTATAGATTATTAAAAGTTTTTAAGTCATGATAATGTTATGGTAAATTAGTAAGTGGAGTTTCATTTTAATTTATCTTAACAAGAAATAATTAAAGATAAAGAGAGGGGAATTGGACTATACTTTTAATAATAATAAAGATTTCTAAGACCTGTATCAATATCTATAGATATTATCTCAAAAAGAGTAATAAAATAAAGAAATAAATAAATAAATTAAAGAAATTAAAAAGATTAACTGAATAAAGTCACTAGTAATTAATATAATTCAAGATTTAAATTAATTAAATAGCAAGCTATTAATCAAAGAAGACTATAACTAAGGTAAAGATAAAAACTAAAATACAAAAACTAAATAACTAAATAAATAAAAAATATGGCTTATTTATAGTAGAAATCTTCTACTCTCAAAAATAATAAACAAAAAGTATGACTTATTTATAGTAGAGATCTTCTACTCTTAAAATAATATCAAATAAATCAAAAATTAATATAATATTATAATCCAAAAATCAAAAATTAACTTTGCATAGTCAAAGAAATAAAACTGAGTAAAAGAAAGAGTACTAGTATAATTTGAAAAGAAATCTTTTGAAAAGATTACTATTATTATAATAATAAGCTTTTAAATTATATTTTCC